ATATTATTATTATTATTTTATATTTTATATATTATATTATTTTGCATTTTATTTTACAGAATCAGAAATAAATGTAACAACAACATTTTGTATGATTAAAAATATGAAGAACTTTATTTATTTTTGTGGTGAATTTTTCATATATTGTGGTTTAATTTCTGCAATGGTTTTTAAATTTATTTTTCTTGATATTTTAAATTTTATTTAAGTCATCATGTTAATATTATATTAATATTTAATTATCTATTTATGTATAATATTGATTGAAAATTTGAATATGTATATTTTAATCAAATAATTTCTAACAGATATTTAAAATAGTTTCTCACTATAATTTATTTTTTTTTATGACGAGGGAAACCCGCAGCCGCTACCCTTTGGGTGTGCACAGGGTAAAACCCCCGGTCCTATGCAATAGCTCGCAAACCACATAGGAGAGGTAACTCACACTAGGCAAACCTGGTGCGACGAGCTCGACCCAGAAGGCAAAACCCCTTGCTTTCGCTGGCAAGGGGTTTCGAACTTGAGACCTCTAACATGGAAGTCCCAAGCTCAAACCACTGGGTCACCCCGAAGGGTGTTTCTCACTATAAAATAATCTTAATATTAAAAGTACATTGATACTTGCCCTTTTTCGTCTGTTTAAAAAAAGATTAGCCAAATAGAATTTGCTTATCAAAAGCACTTTTCAAGTGATTTTTTTTTCATAAGCACTTTTTTTTAAAAACCATTTTAAAAAAGTGCTTCTACAAATAAGTTGTTTTAGCAATGATGCCAAACAGGCTCTAACACTCTTACAATTGTTGTAGCACTGAAGATATTTAGGGATGACTTAGAAAACTGTCATGAGGTTCTTATAATAGTAGTATTTAGTTATGTGGTTCCGTTATGGCCTTCCCAATTGATACCTTTAGACCTCAACTCAGTTTTCCATGGCAGTGCAATGCCTTCGATAATTTGCATTTTCTTCCCCTTCATTTTGATGAATAGTTTCCTTTTTGTGATTTTTTCACAGGTGGAAGGTGTCGCAGGCATTATGTCTGCTTATGCTAGTGCTTTGCAGAATTTTACTCTTTCTGGACCCACATTATTCGGGCATGTAGTTAACAAGGCTGCAGAAATTGCTGTCGAGTCCCTCAAATACAACCAGCGCAAATATTTTGTCCTCCTCATTATAACGGTTAGTAATGGATGAAAGCAGGATTAGTTTTAGATGTCAGATTTCTGTAAATTTATCTGGTGATCTTAATCATTTACTACTTGTAGGATGGTGTCATTACCGATATGTTAGAAACTAAAGATGCTCTGGTGAGGGCATCAGACCTGCCACTTTCAGTTCTTATTGTAGGAGTTGGCAATGCAGATTTTACACAGATGGAGGTACAATCTCACTACAGTACTCAATCCTCTAATTAGACTGCAGGATGTCCACCTGTTATCTAGACTAAAGTTGTAGTGATATCGTTAACAAACCACATTAAATATTTCCTTACAGATCCTTGATGCTGATAATGGACATCGATTAGAGAGTTCCACAGGAAGGGTAGCTACACGAGACATTGTTCAATTTGTTCCAATGCGAGAAGTACATAGTAAGTCAAATACCCTATGTTCTCATAACACAACCTCGTCCTTTATTTTGCTTTTGAGGCAAAGTTAGCATTACACAAGTAGTTGGGAAATTGACTTCTGATGTGTAAAATATCAAATAATTGTTGTGTCAGTTGGTTTGGTTAGGTATTTCCATGATTTTATCTAGGGCATGCTAAGAATTTTCCATTTTGGACGTATTTCTCCTCTTAACATGATTCAACATATAAAGCATGTTCAATTGTTTAAAAATTTCTTTGATTTTTGTTTCCTTGCATAATTTGTATGTTAGAATGAATCAATTCCCTTTTATGATTGTTCATAAGCTTGATTCTAAATATGATGTTTACTCTATTTTGCAGGCGGGCAAATTTCTGTTGTTCAAGCTCTTCTAGAGGAGCTACCTGGGCAGTTTCTTACATACATGCGTTGTAGGGATATTAGACCTCATAACATTTCTTCTCCCCAAACATCTGCTCCAGGACATTCCTATGTGGTTTGAGTAGGAAGAAGAGCTTCAGAAACCATCAAAATCTTAAAATGATTGCAGTAGAAAAAGAGTGTCTGCTTGGAAGAATGAAGTCTGACTTTATCTTGCTTCAGAACTAGTGTTGCACATTCCATTTATACTGGTGACTGCAAATACATATCATTGTGATAATAGCGAATTTAGCTCTTAGGGATCGGTTGATGATTGATTTACTTTTGTATACGCCTATTGTGAACACATTCAAGTACTCAATCAGTGAAAGGGTTTGGGATGAATTTCTGATCCGAGCTATGACTATAAGCTTTCAATAGCCACACTAACCACTCAACTAGTATATTATGGCTTGCAAATTCATACCAGTAAATGATTAAAACCTCGTGATAAGTGGATGGCCTGTATGTTTGTGTAAAATACTTGGCCATAAATTTTTGAAATTAATTTTTCCATGCCAATCTTTTCAAGTTCAATTGCGAGTTGCGACTATGTAAGTTGAAAACAATACGCTGCAGTATGTGCAGGTAGGAACAATTTAAAACACTGCAGACTGGATTCCTCCCATATAACCATTGTTGATGCCTATTTCCTCCATTAAAAATAGAGAAAACTGTTAATCCCACCTACGTTATAAATGGATGCTCTACTTGATCCATTTCAAATCTAACCGGTGGTCTTCAATCCTTGTTACGGACTAAGTCGTAAAAAATCCCAATCCAGGTCAAAGGATTTTCAACACAAAAACACTTGTTTTGCTTGTCTAGCTATTATAGTTCCTGGCCTAGTCTCTTTGCTTACACTATGTAAGAACTATATATACTAAGGTTAAACAAGATCTTAGGCTTCTAATCCCTAGTTTATAATTTAACGCTTTTACCCAAAAACAAATGGAGTTTTTACGATAACTTGGTTGTTTTGCTGTTATATTTGTGGTCTCATTCTGTGGGGATGCATTTTATTCCCCTCAAGGACAATGATAAAAGGGATATACGGTAAAAGAAGATGCGTTACGGAGACTAGAAAATTTCTTTGTATTCTCATACTTGTTTTTTACATGGGTAAAGGGTCAAATATGTCCCTAAACTATTCGAAAAGGTCTAGATATATCGTCCGTTTAAAGTTTGGCTCACTTGTGCCCTCGCCGTCCAACTTTTCGTCTAGATATTATGGGCATTAGTTGGCCTGCTTGACATATCCAGCTCATTTTCCATTTCTTTAAATGCCATAAGGAATTGTCATGTTATTATGACTTTACCACGCAATTATATGGAAATGGATCAATTATGCCCCTAAAAAATTCGAACCCATAAACACCTAATCCGACCCATAAATCAACCCCCCTTTTAAATAAACTACCCGACCCGTTTTCAACAATTTTGTTTTAATTTTTATTTTTTTCGGTAAATCCCGAAAATGAGCAATTGATTAATAAAAAATAGGAAAAATATGAAAAAAAAATATAAAATTAACGCCAAAAATTCACAAATAAATATTGTAACCTTAAATTCAACAATTTCAACAATTTTTTTTCGGTAAATCCCAAAAATGAGTAATTGATTAATAAAAATTATGAAAAAAAATATAAAATTAATGCCAAAAACTCACAAATAAATATAGTAACCTTAAATTCAAAAATTTCAACAATTTTTTTTAATTTTTATTTTTTTCGGCAAATCCCGAAAATGAGTAATTTATTAATAAAAAATAGGAAAATATGAAAAAAAATATACAACTTACGTCAAAAATTCACAAATAAATAGAGTAACCTTAAATTCAACATTTTTTTTTAATTTTTTTTTCCGGTAAATCCCGAAAATGAGTAATTGATTAATAAAAATAGGAAAAATATGAAAAAAATATAAAATTACATATTTTTCCAATTTTTTATTAATAAATTACTCATTTTGGGGATTTGCCGCAAAAAATAAAAATTAAAAAGAAATTGTTGAAATTTTTGAATTTAAGGTTACTATATTTATTTGTGATTTTTTGGCGTTAATTTTATATTTTTTTTCATATTTTTTATTAATCAATTACTCATTTTCGGGATTTACCAAAAAAAAAGTTGAAATTATTGAATTTAAGGTGACAATATTTATTTGTAAATTTTTGGCGTTATATTTTTTTCATATTTTTTCTATTTTTTATTAATCAATTACTCATTTTCGGGATTTACCGAAAAAGATAAAAACTTAAACAAAATTATTGAAAATGGGTCGGGTAGTTTATTTAAAGGGGGGGTGGTTGATTTATGGGTCGTATTAGGTGTTTATGGGTTCGTTCGAATTTTTTAGGGGCATAATTGATCCCTTTCCATTTTCATATAAATGTCATGTGGTATTGTCAAAATGATATGACAATTCCATGTGTCATTTAAAGAAATGGAAAATGAGCTGGATATGTCCAGCAGACCAATTAACGCCCATAAGGGCATATCTAGACGAAAAGTTGGACGGCGAGGGCACGAGTGAGCCAAACTTTAAACGGAGGGTATATCTAGATCTTTTCGAATAGTTTAGGGGCATATTTGACATTAACCCTTTTTACATTAACTTTTAATTCAGACTGTTTTGAAATTCTTTTAAGGTTTCCATTATCCCCTGAATTAGTTTGGTTCTACCTATGTTTGAGTATCACTTGTTAAAAAATCTCCTGTCCATTTTCCTAATGAAATGATCTCATCAACATACATACCACTCTTCTTTCACTCACTCCCTTTATTCTCTCTCATCTAGTAGCAAAGTTTATAATCTACCAGCTTATTAAAATAAAACAATAGAGAAAAATCCTTGAACATAACTCTTTTATTTTTTGAAATACTATGCACTCAGTCAATGAATAAATATTGTAGGAATTTTAAGAAAATAAAAACCTTCAGAAAACAAATAGGATAAGTACAATCTTTACATATACATACATGTTAACTACAAGTAGCAATCACCAAAATGGAAAGACTACCAAGGTGCTGAATCTCCACCAGTATGCACCTCAGTTGTCCAGAACTGTGTTTCATCTTGGATAGCCCATAATTTAGTGCTTTCATCACGGTCAGAGCCATCATCAAAATCAAAATATCCATCATCATCAGCATCATCTGTACCATTCCCTGAATTAAATTCTTCAACTTCAAACAATTTATCTAAACCATCATAGTGTTCAAAGTAGTCATCGTCATCAACTTCACCATCATCACCCGTTTGATTAAAATACTCATTCACATCACCTTTTGCAAAACCTTTCCTTGTTTCTCTTCTCATTTGCTTTCCCTTCCTAGCAAGCTCCATCAGGTGATCTTTCATGACCAGCATTTCATCCCTCTCCAAAAGTTTGCCTCTATCATCGTACCCTTCTACCAGAAAGACCGAGTCTCTCTGCCCCTTCTTACTGACATAAAACAACTCAGGGTGCCTTATTAGCATAGCCCTTAATCTGTTTGGCAAACCAAACTCCTTTCTAAAATGTGTTAAGTGATCAACCAAAGTCCTCTTCTCAACCATCATCCCCAAAACTTCTCTCACCACTGCACAAGCCCTCTTCTCAGCATTAATCGACTCTTTATAGAAATCATTCACTCTAGTCTTATAAGGACATACATCCGGTAATTCTTTAAACTTTATAAGGTACTCTTCATGCCGTCTCTTCAAATTTAGTCCCCTTCGAAGTTGTAAATGCTTGAACTTTAATGGCCGATCTACAATCAATCCAAGTGAAACATGGTCAACTTCACGAGACGGTAAAGCATTCGCTAGAGCTAGATCACAAGAAACAAGCTCAAGAGAACGACCATAAGATGTGTCAACAATCTGAAACTTATCAGGGTAATCATTGCAAAGGCGAGACCTGAAATTAACAGGCAAACCAAGATCAGGCGCAATGTGAACTAGCTTGGACAGCAATAACCTATGATGCGTCGTAAGCATTAGAAGCTTCTGTAACTTAGCAGCCAAGAAAACAGAATGAGCCGATTTCAGTTCGAATTCTTTACGAAGGAGGGCAGCAGCAGGTGGAGTGAGTCGAACACAGAGCTGAGAAAGTGGTTTAGTGGCATTGAAGGGTGTAGGCGGTGTTGGTATAGTGAATAGCTCAAATATTGTTGGATAACGCTGGATCATTGAAAGAATAGAGCGAGGTTTAGGAAGAGTCAAATAGCCGCGGCATTTGGAGAGAACATTGATAGGCATGAAATGCTTTGGTTTTGAAAGTAAGAGTGTTTTAAGCTTGTGTACGAACCTAATATTGTTGTTTTTTACAACATGTTTGTCTAACTTGCGATCTGGAACCAATTTGTGAGGTCCCGGATTAGAGCAAATAACAGAAATGGTGAATTTGTTTCTGCTTTTAGGAGGTAAGAAATCTGATTGTAGTGGGAAAATGCAATTATTGCTTTGGAGTTGGATTTTCACTGGTAAAGTGAGGAGGGTCATTTGCAGGGATGACAT